CGTCCCTTTCGGATGTAAACGTTACCAACTACAAAGAATTTGCTTTGTCTTGGAACAGGTATATTACATTACAGGCTATAAAAGACATGAGATTAGATTCGAGTAAAGCAATAGCACAGTTACCAGGCAATAGGCAGACAGGCGCAATGTTACCCGCTACACGCACAGTGAAGAAAACACTACTGCGTCACTCGGGCACAAACAGGTCCTGACTGGACCGGCGACCCACCGGTACTCACATCACTGCGTGGCGAGGCCGCGGAGGAGCACCGCTCCGTCCGTGACGGGGCGGACGAGTGCCAGCGAAGGCGAACAAGAGAGAGCCAGAAGCGAGCCAGTAGAGCGAGCCCCGAGCCTACGCCACGCGCGCGTATTTATACCGTCACACGCAGTGTGACGTCACAACCCGCGTACTTTCACGCAATCCAAGGGCCACAGTATAACATATAGAAATAATACACATACACGCACGTTACAGGCATGGCCGTGAGAATCCGTCCTTATTCGCGAATGACGACACCACCAGCGAAACAAGCGCTAACTCACAAACTCACAAGATGTCAGATTTTCATATAACTAGAACACCAGATAGGATATAAAGTCACACACTTTTTGTCAACAGTTAATATCATTACAATAAACAATGCGACCCGGTACCTCATCGTTGTTTATTGTACCAGAAGGCCCGTATTGTTTCTCGTAATGTTACATTGCCAATTTTTAAACGTACCTAATGCAACCGACAAACAATGAAACTAGCATTATGTTTTCTGCTTTCATGGAAAACCCGTGAAACCACGTAAAATAGTGAACATTCCGTGACACAGTCAGTTTTGTCTCTAAGGTATCTTATCTTATATGTGCAATAGACCATGCAACCCGTATCAAATTGGGCGACATACATCAGCTTAGAACGTGGCATATCGAACACTGTAAAGTACAATAAATCATGCAGTCCGTGAGGGTCGGTCCTGCAATAAGTTATTACGCACGTATTTACCGTAATACGTCGTAATCTATTTCACACAAGGAATAATGCGATCGATCCGTATTCCAGGTCTGCTCCTATTTATTCGTTGTTAGCTATACAGAGCTACAGGAGAAAAAGCCTGTTCCAATCCATTGCAGGGCTAATTACATAAATATAAAAACTACATGTTCTAAACGTCGGAGAAACGCGTACTTCACGTGGCACGGCTGTGCGGCGTGAAAGTCGTGACCTCGCGCGCCCGCCCGGTCTCGCCAGCGCGCCCGGCCCCAGGGTCGGGCTAAAGCCATCTCCTCGCGCTCCGTCCCGGGTTCACCGTCACGTCCCGAGGGGTCGGGCGAAGGTCGGTCAGTGGCCAGTGCGTAGGTTGCGACACCGTGCCGCCTCGCCGGTGCGTGTGGGCGGTACGGTCTCACCACGGCACCGGCCGCGGTCCACGCCGCCGCTGCGTGGTGTTGCAGCGAGCCTTGCGCCACCAGAGGCAGTGATGCAGGTCACATCCACCGCGATCGTGGCACGGTCACCGAAGGTGGCGACGCCGGTCGCGCCCACCGCGACCGTGATTTTCTCACACAATTGCAGAGGTTGTGTGGTAGCTACTACTGACAAACGTTGGGTTGCCGTCGTTCATAGCTACAAGGGACTGGCGGTTTAGTGCAGCTTCAATTATCCTGCCTCTCGGCGATAAGTGTCGGCTGCCCCATAGTGGACTATGACCATTGAAATCGCCGAGCAGAAGGCAATTTTCTGGCATTTGCTCTAGAAGGTCATTCAGATTTTGCCGGTTTACAACAGTTGCATTTGGCGGCAAATACACTGAAACAACCAACAACTCGCGGTTTAGTAGTGAAACAGTAGCTGCTACAACATTTAGCGGGGAAGCTATGTTTGTTTTCCGTTGTGACACTGAGTTTGCTACATAAAGAGCTACGCCACCCTGTCTATTTGCTAGATTTATGTCCTGTCTGTACAAAGTATATCCAGCCACATTGTAATTGTAATGATCTGTGCTTTTAAAATGAGTTTCCTGAATCGCGGCTAGAAGAGGAGCTTCCTTTTGTACAGTGGCGGATCCAGGGGGGGGCAAAATGGGCATTTGCCCCCCCCCCAAACGGCATGATTTTAACATTACGCCTATGGACGATGCATGGAAAGAATCGATAAATTTTTATGGTTTGCCCCCCCCAAACCTCTGAGCTGGATCCGCCTCTGCTTTTGTATATACTGTTTAAATTCAGACAAATGGGATAGAAGTCCTCCTACATTCCATTGAAGCAAAAAATCCATTGCAGCAGCTATCTAGTTTGTTTGGCGCGCTATTCTGGGATGAAGGATCGTCTGGTCACGACCTGGGTACGAAGGCCCACATTTTTCCTCTCCTTTGTTGAGCGTGCTCGGAGGCGAGTTTTGGGGCCTTCTGCATGGAGGGTGAGCTGAGTGTCGGAATCGCTGTCATCAATGACTGATGGCGATCGCAGGACGGAAGACACGGCGACCATTTTGGGGGTCTCCTCGTCCTCGCTCGTCGTATTGGCATCATAGCATGTGTCGTCGTCGGAATCTGTAGCCCTTGTCCGGTGGAGTGGTGTAACTACGGAGACGCCAGTTGGGTTGCTGGGGGACATTTCACAGGTGCCTGGTGTTTGGGCCTGGTGTCATGTCCCACCACTTTTGTGCGGGCCTGTTTCTCGCTGATCAACCACGGTGGGAGAGTCAGGGTGGACTGTCTTGGGTGTCGGTGTCGACCGGGCGCAGCCTACATCGATAGACCGAGCGAGTTCCGGCGTCGCGGCCGTGCGCTTCCGAGCATGGGTGCTTGGGTGGTCTGGCGGGCTCGTGTCTTTGCGGGCTGGTGGCGTCAGCTTTGCGTGACGTGCGACATGGGGCAGATCCCGAGGGGGTGGGAGCTGGCCAGTCCTGTGGGCGGTTTGCAGCCTGGGATATCTGAGCCTGTGTTTGTCCCACATGGCGCGGGACTCCCTCGTGGTGGGAGGTGCTGGGCTGGGTCATGGGGGGTGACCCACCGTGGGTGCCAGCCACGTGTCCAGATCTGCGTTGTGTGGCCTCGCGGAGCTCCTGCACCTTTGCAACCCACACGGGACAGTTCTTGTCAGTCACTGGGTGCGGTCCATTGCATGCAGCACAGTGGGGAGGGGCGACACACCCTGTAGACGGATGCTCCTCTGAGCAACGTTTGCATATTTCAGCACGAGACCTACATGTGCCTTGTCCGTGTCCATAACGCTGGCACTTGCCACAGCGCCGAGGCAGCTGGTGAGATGGCCTGACTTCATAGCGCATGTACACTGCATAAAGGTGTTCAGGCAGCTGTGTGGCCGAAAACCTCACCTTGAGCAGTGGGTTCGGTCTGGAATTTTTTGAAGGGAGGCGTGTGACACTTGTGACACCCTGGTCACGGCTTTCCTCAAGGGACGCCATTTAATTGCGTCCCAGAAAAGCTATTTCTGGCACCTAAAAGCTGACTCGCCCCAAAATTGGTCCTCAGCACCTATTTGGTGGATACCAGCACCAATCATGGAAAATGACCTTAATTAGCTGTTTCTGGCACCTATTCATCGGTACGCCTTACTCTTTTTTCTGAATCTGGCACCTAAATGCTGAGCGTAGCACCAATCTAGCAGAAAAATGAACTACTGGCTGGTAGAATCATGTTGTTCTAGTATAATGACCCCTGGAGTCTAGCCTAAAGGTTGCCAGTGCAGCTACACTCTAAGACAGCCCCGTAGTGATCTCAGCATTGTATATGACGTTTAAGTAAGCAAATAATATTGATTTGTTCGAAAAAAAAACAATGTCATTTAAATATTTAAAAGTATTTATTTGTAATGCTTAAAGGGAAACATTTTTGTGAGTAATTGTCTCGATTTTAACCATTAAAACGGGTATTGCATTTTTGACGTCATCAAATAGCTCCAAAAAAGAAATGTAATGTTTTCATTCCGTTCAAGGCCGCTGAAGAAACGCGAGATCTTGCGTGGGACATTGTCCGTTGTTTGCCGCGCAGAGTTGTGCCGTGGTTGTGCCTTTTTCATCCGTTTCTTACTTATGTGTGCATGAAGCTTTGATTTTGTTTTTGGTTATTGTGTGGCCGGTCAGTCAAACGCCCCTGTAGAAACCGGATGCTGCGTTTGATCGAGATGGAGTCAGACGATGATTGCAGAAAGCTATTGAAAAGAGGGCCGGTTGCGTGGCATGTCTGTTCAGAGTTGACATTTTGCTTTACTCCAGTTTATGACCTGAGAGCCTGGCTGGAAGTGACGGATCCAAACTTTTCACGTTAAAATGGCTGAGGGTGCAATAATCTCTACATAGCGGGCTGGTATAGGAGCGTCTTGCTATGCTGCACCATAGCTGGCTAGTGATTCTCTTTTGGCTAGAAATGGCATTAATCATTATCTCCACTGGCGAAAATGGCACTTGACATCACCGAATGCAACGTTCATGTTTGTTAGGATACATAAAATCAGGAAGATTACGCGAATAAGGTAGGCAAACGTGGAATAAAATAGGTGCTGGATGTTTTGGTTTTGGTGCTGAATCAGCAAACAGCAAATACGGAGTTCAACTAGACGATCTGGCAACTTTAGGCTGTGTGGAAGCAATTAGGTGCCAGATTCAGATATTAGGGTCGAGTAAGCATTTTGGGGCTGATCAGCAATTAGGTGCCAGAAACAGCTTTTTAGGGACCAGAAACAAATATTCCCCTTCCTCAAGTATGGTTTGAGGAGACTCCATTGAGAGCTCAGGGGCATAGACCATCCCCTCCACCTGATTTAGGCGGTCTGCTGGAATCACAGAGATGTCCTCCCCCAATATACGATTGCTGCAGTTTTTGAACAGAGACATACCCCGCGTTCGATGTCTCTCGGACGACGAAGATTCTACGTCGTCCGGCCAATCACGTTCAAGGTCAGCGGGGGCTCGGCTGCGGTTATGGAACGTGATTGGCCGAACGACGTAGAATCCTCGTCGTCCGGGAGACATCGAACGCGGGGATCGTCCGGCGCTATGATATTTTTATTTGGAAAATTGTAAGATGTCAAAAAAATTAGTTATACTTACAGTAATGATAATTATTTCCTGATACCACAGGAATGCTAGTTGATTTTTAAAGCTGGTGGTGTGTCCCACGGTAAGGAGATTTCTGTAACTTGGAGCAAACGTAAAAGCTTTGATGTGCAGGGTAATCGTGATGTGGCATTTTCATTTTTGTTTGATCTTTGTCCTTAACAAGAGATTGTTTTCATTTGTTGACAGAATTCATTTGTTGAATTGGTAAGAGGGTAGAAAGTTTTGTTTTCATGATTTGGCACCACATGCTTAAAGGGACCCTCCCACCTTAACATTAGATTTGAGTTGATATAGCCAAAATGGGGTCCCTGGCTCACAATTACCGGTTTCGGCACTTACAACATCGAGAAATGCCTTAAATCGGAAATATTTAATTTAAAAATTGCAGCATTTTGATTCAAAGGGGCTAATGCAAAAGAATACCCCTCTGAATGTGTGACGTCAGCGCAGATATCTAATGATTTTTAAATGTTTGACTAAAACGTTTTGTAGCATGCTGTGGTATATGCTGCTTAGCGCGCAACAAATGCCGCACTTTCAAATAGTCGCTAAGAACAGCGGAGATCCCAAAAAGTAAACAAAAGTAAAAGTCTAATATCTTGAAAACCGGTGAATATTTTTCGATGAAATTTGGTAGATATTTGTTTTTGCTCTTTCTGAACCGAGCGACATTTTTTTTTTTAAATAAATTTAGCCCGAACTTTTTGATGGGAAGGATTCACAAGGACAGAGCCACCGCTAAGCGAAGCTTGTTGCGATGACCCTGCCCTCTACCCTCCGATCGCGCAATTCCGATTCTATGGCAGAATTTAGTCCAAAGTTTAACGTGCGCACAAAGCCGCGCACGGCCGGTCCCCTCGCTGACTTCGCCTGGCTACGGCCTGCCACCAACCGCAACCATACCTGTCAGGAGGCCCATAAATGTCGAGCGCCCGTCGTGCTTCGAACCCGGACTGTCATAACCGGGAACGCGTGCTCTCACCACGCGGAGTCCAACGCTCTAACCAACTGAGCTACGGGACCGGCATCACTTTCATGCCAATTCATTAACTTTTTTGAAGGTGGGAGGGTCCCTTTAATCAGTTAGCAGGGTATAACCCTACAACCTACATACTCCAAGTCCAATCTACCAACCTACTACCTACCTACCAGTACCAGCCTACATACCACTCAGACTTCATCTTCACACATACAGTTATATCTGGTCTGTATGGAATTATTTGCCCATTTGCATAGTAATCTTGATCTTGATCAACCATTACAAATATACTGAATAATACTGGTATCCTTTTACTCACTAATTAATTTCTGTAATGGTCTTCACTGCATGTCTGCATGTTATATTTGTAGGCTGCAAAACTGGGCCTGCAATATACACCCATGCTCAACAAACATTAGTAGTGCTTAGCTAGGTATCTATTAAATTCAGGGTATAACAAAATTAATATACCATAATTTGCCATTATTTCAGGTGAGAATTAAGTCTTCTGGCACCATGATTCTACAAATTGTGGCTGGAGTGGTGGCTTCATATGTGGTCTTTTCACTTGTGCTGCTGTTCTTCCCTGGAATTCTGCACAAGAAGAAGCAGGCGGCATTTGTATGCCAGCATATCAGTCACAGAGGAGGTAAGTAATGCTGACCAAATTACCAACTATTCAGAATGATCAAGACATATCTGAGCACCCTGCTCCCATACAGGATCACCATTCACCACCACAGCTGATCCCATCCCCCTACTCACACAGTAGGACCAGTATAATGCCTTTTGGGGCGACTAACGGAGCGAGCGAGAGGGTGGGCCTTGCACGTGCGAAATTGCGAGGGGGTACCTCCAACTGACTTGTGCACGGCACCCTTCTAACTGGTCTCCAGCGATGTGCTAAATTTGAGCACAATCGGCCCAGCCGTTCTCGAGATCTGGAAGCGGCACCCTGCACGTGCAAAATGGGTCCCATCTGACTTTTGCACGGCACCCTACTAGCTGGTCCCTAACCGTGTACCAAATTTGAGCGCCATCGGTCCAGCCATTCTCGAGATCTGGAAACGACCCTTGCACGTGCGCACGTGCAACAGCACCCCAACTCTGGCACATGGATATGCATTGCCTAGTGGGTGCCTACCCACATGCCAACTTTCAGCGCAATCGGCTAAGTAGTTACCGAGATATTGCAACAATTACAAAAGTGACACCTCTTCGTTTTGCACGTGGCACGTGCATAAGGGGTCACCTACATGCATCGGGAATAGTTCAATACTTGGTAGAAGGAATGAAGCTACCCTACAAAAATTACCGCGTGTAAATCGGTCAAGTGGTTGACTTGCTGAGATATAAGCGTCGCAAAATCGTGACCACGGCCGGCCGGCCGGCCGCTCATACTCAGAAATTTCCGTTAATCTAAGGAAAGACTCCGCTTGCTTCGCTCGCTCCGTAACCACTGCAGCTCTGAGCTGCCCTACAGGCTCACCACTAGGGATGTCGATCCCAGACCTTTTTCCCAATCCCAGGATTTCAGGATTTTCGAGGGAAAGACCAGGATATCCTGGTATGCCGGGACTGGTGTTTTCTCTTATAATCCAAGGTATTCCATTCCAACATAACTTCGACTGACCTGGCGTATGATCATTGTGTATAAATGTGAAATAAAATGTGTAATATGATGTGTGTTTAACAATGCAGGAATGCATTTGAGAAAGCAGACCAGCTCTGTGAGCATTTACCTACATCTTATACACCTGATACCTGGAGTTTGGTTATTGTACGAGCCATGTCCGCATACTCTTTGATGATTTGCATTATCCTTGCCCCTTACAGGTGCAGGTGAAGGACCTGAAAATACAATTGCTGCATTTGAACAGTGAGTGCTTGTGGTCGGCTGGGGTTCAGCTTTAGTTTCTGGGTTATTACCTATATGATAAATGCTACTGTGTTTTTTTGTGAGGAATGGTTTGCATGATGTCTTCAGGTAATCAGATTAACTTTGGGAAATAGTTTTTAGGTTATTTCAAGATTTGTTTGGAGAAAAGTAAGCAGTATATGCAATATGTATTTGAGGCTACTGACAATCTCGATTTTACCAGACGCTCGACCCTGACGGCCGTCGGCTCGTTGTTTGGTCACGGTCCGTGTATCGGCGTGCGGCGCGCCTGCGGTTGACTGGCTGTGACTCTGCCGACCGGCAGTGCGGTGGTGGACTGCGGCACCGACATGCTGGAGCTGGACTGCCACCTGAGCCGCGACGGGCGGGTGGTGGTAGCGCACGACCCGCACCTGCGGCGCGACGGCCAGCCCGAACTGGCCATCGCCGAGCTGGACTACGCCCAGCTGCCGCCGCTGCTGACGCGCCTACCGCTCGACTTTGCGCCCGGTGAGCGGGCAACTGCCGCCGGGACCGCCCCGTGACGCCTGACTCTGTTTGCCGGGCAGTGGGATGACGAACTGATGTTGGCTGCTGACGACAGTTATGCTGGGTCAAGTACTTGGGCTCCCTGCTCACCCAGTGCCAGGAGGGAAGGGGTGGAGGGCATCCTCTTACCAGTGCGTTTGATGTGGTACTTTAGTGGCCTCTGTCTCAGCATGATCAGACAACGTTCTTAGGTAGTATTTTTTTTCGGGAAATTTTACATGTCTTATATCGTAACAACCCGCCAGTCCGAGCCATGCGTCCAGGCCGTCTCCCCGCCCGCTGACCATCCCACCCTACACCGTCCCCTGTCCAGGTGAGAGTTTCGACGCGTCGGCGTTCGACGATCGCTCGCTGCCGCTGCTGTCGGAGGTGTTTGAGCGGTTTCCCGACACACCGATCAACATCGACATCAAGGTGAACCGGGACGAGCTGGTGGCCGCCGTGGGCCGCCTGGTGGCCCAGTACCGCCGCCAGGCCATCACCGTCTGGGGCAACTTCAGCGCCACCGTCACCAACAAGTGCTACAGACAGGTACAGTGCCAACAGCGGGGCGGTGGGGCGACACCAGGAGAAGGCTTGTTTGGTTCAACAGACTGGTCTGTCTACATATGTGAAAGTACCTACATATTACGTACCATATGGTTTGTTGGTGCTACTGCTCAGGTTGTTTGGTCATGTGCAATGTGCATGCTATTAGTCCGAAGATACGCATGTTGCTGTTCGGTGCGAAGCTGCGCGTGTTTCCGAGCCAATACCGAAGTGTGACCGTGGTGCCGCGGCGGCCGGTTGCAGGACCCCAGTATCGGCCTGCTCTGCTCGATGCCGGCGGTCGTGAAGATTGTGCTGTCGGCGTACGTGGGCCTGCTGCCGTTCCTACCGCTCAGGGAGACGTTCTTCGAGGTGCCCATGCCCAGCATACTGTACCCGTGAGGCAGCCACACGCCCCGTGCCACCCCCGTCACCACCACCGCGGCGACAGCAGGCCTTTCAGTACAAAAGCGCGCTCCCTATGTTACTTGTTTTTCAGATACCTGCTCAATCAGTGAGAGTTAACTTCTTTAGTTGCTCAAATACCTTTAACTTTTGATACCGTCGGCCTCTAGCTCGGTCATTTTAAGCAGACCTGTAAATGCCTTAACAATTGTGGCCTCAGAAGTTAATTATCCATGCACATTACACAAACACATATTGTCATTGCGAAATGGCATTAATGCCGTTACTTATCACGAACCACAAATTGCACATTCGAATATATGTAACTACCAGTAGTTTTTATAAAGAAATCCGTCTCGGCATAATGTTCATTATCTGTCTTACTCTTGACAATTGGCATGTTATGCATTTCTTACCTATCTAACCTCATCGGCTCGGAGTGTGACGGTCCACCTGCCGCCCCGCCCGCCGTTTGCCGACAGAATGGTTAAAGGCAGGTTCGCCAAGTGTATGGTGTGGCTCGCCGATAAGCTACTGATGCGGCCTTTCATCCTGAACCACCTCAGACGTCGTGGTATGCAGGTGTGTACCCTCTCCAGCTGCGACATTTCGAGCAGCTGACGTGCTGTATTCTGCCTCAAACCCGAATTTCCGCAGTGTCAGTATCGCAAATTGATCATTTGTATGCAGTTTCAGCTGTCGTTAGATAGGTACATCGTCTTTTTCAACTTTTCGTGCCATATCGCTCTCAAAACGCGGTACTGGGGATGTGCGGGTTATTCAGGTCGGTCCTTATGACGTATCTGTGCGATCTATGTTCGTGATGTGCTGTGTGTATGACACTACAGTGACAGGCAAAGGGCACATTGATGACAACCGTTTATTGTGAATGCTGACTGCCCGCCTGGTTATGTTCAGCTCGGGCTTTCGCATTATGACCTCGCTATCAACGCACCCCCTAAAAAGCGATGTTCCGAATTCCGATGGATGAATGTGTGACCGGTCCGCTCGGACAGGTGTACCTGTGGGTGCTGAACTCTGAGGCCGAGTACCGCCGCGCGTTCGGGCTCGGCGCCACGGGCGTGATGACCGACTACCCGTCCCTGCTGCGGCACTTTCTGCGCGACAACCCGCAGTACGCGGCGCCCGGCCGCCGCCTCAAACAGTGAGCGCCGGCGCGCGGCCGTACTCGAACAGCCCGACTGTGATAGCGTGTGGCGCGCGCGCGGCCGCGGGCCGTCCGCCGCCGGCCGGCGCACGCAGGCCGCCCAACCGACCGGAGGTGGGGCTCTGGGATCACCCGCCATACTGTCATCGGCTCTCATGGAGGACTGCGGTCCGGTTACATTCTATCGGACATTATTTCGGTGTGGACGGACTTGTCAGTCACGTCCTCATCCGTTTTCTCTGCCTATCGACTCTTCGATCCTACACAACCCTGCTTTTACATTGCTCACTCTTCCCGTTAGTCTCAGCACAGACTATACTGGGCTATCTGAGACCCTCTCTGGCATCCCGGAGCTCTGCCAGGCGGGCGCTCCGCTCGTAAAATAATGTTGACCCGTGTTTTGCTACCATTGACCGCAGGGCTCTTGGTGGACGGTAGCTGCCAAACGGCGTATGCAATGCCACTATCGGGTCCCGCGCGCCCGGCCCATGGTTAGGTGGATAGACGGGTCTGTCGTTGGGGGGTTAGTGTAATTGTAATTGATTGAGGTAATGAGTGTCACTACAAAAGGGGAGTGATTGCTCGCCCAAATTACTCTTATTCCTATAATCATGTTTTAGTTTTTTTCTAGTGAGTTGTGGATCATAGCTGGCCTCTAAGGAACTCATTTGGTCACGCCTGGTACGTTTATGGTTATTACACGCGCGACGTGCGCGTATTTTAATTCGTACTGTGGTGAACGCGACCACGAGCTCTTAGTTACTCCACTCTCGCTCTCGTGCATTATCGGTAACGGCACTAGTCAGTTATTGTGAAGGTTTATTGGACGTCGCATTGCTATGGTGGCCTTGATAGGACATGCCAGAACCACTGGCTGGCTGTATGCGGGCAGGTTCTCCGAATGGCTCCTCTCCAATTAGTATGTAATTCAGTATTCGGTCGGAGATGGACGAAAAGAACAACTGTTTGCCTCCCTTTGACCCGATAGGCTGAAGACTGACGAGTCATACCAAATAGGCTAGTTCCTAGCGGTTGTTAAGCCCGATTCTTCCTTTATGGCAATTGCTTTTGCCGGCGGCCACGACAGCCCAGTTATGTGTGGGAACACTACTCAGGCCGGCCCTGGGATGTAACGGACCCGAGCTTCAGTATTAGACGTGTCAATCAGTGACTATTGATGGAATGCGTGTTTTAATTTCGCGGGCATGTGAGAGTAGGCGTGATACTTATTATCAGTGATACAACCCATCTGGTTACCAATTTATAATCCATTTTATGGTTGCTATGTCCCTTTGATTGCATAATTCGTGATAACGGCATATTTCGACCCAAAGGCTCTCTGCGGTTGCTCCAACAGCCGTGCGGTTGCATTGGTGGGGCTAGTATACTTAAGGCTTCAATAGCTCGACTTCAGTCTCCTTCCAGTTGGTGCCACCCATCCCAGCTCAATCCATCCAGTGTTGTCCAGCCCATTATCCATCCCAGACATACCCGGCATGGTGCCAGGTCACTGGCAGGTCACCTCAATTGATCGGGTCACACAACCCGCTCGGCGCTCACACTGTCCAGCCGTCCGGCCGCGCTGCCGCCGCGTTCTATGAACTCATTTCAGCCGCGATCTGCTATATAGAACGAACCCCACTGTCCTGTGTTGAATACTGTAGCTCAAATAGCGTATCCTTGTTGTCTTCGTTATAATGTTTTGTGATAAATCCGAATCGTAGTGAAACTAATGTGATCTCTAGTGTTACATGATTATTTATTTGTTTTGTTTTGTTTTCGTCGGGTGTAGCGATATTTACAAGCAGATGACATACACTATGAAAACTCGGTGACCCCGTTGCACTATTAATCTGTTTGCCTATATTCTGAAGCCGCCGTTGTTATTGTCGATGCACGCCTCTCGCGCCAGCGGAGGTCCCGAACCTCCGCCTCCGCTGTCCGGTAACACATCGGCCCGCAAATGAACGAGGTCCGGTCTGGTCTGATTTCCATCGTCTCACTGATGTTTGAGCACGCCACGACGGGGTAACAGCGCCACGATGCACTGAATACAAACGCCTTTGGAAAGCTCGCGTTTGACGCGCTGCGCAGTGCGGGTGCAGTTCAGTGTCCCGGGCCGCCACTGCCGAGCGCCGGGGAGGGGACGGTCCACATTTCACCAAGCCATGTCCCCTATCTGACCCGCCGCTGAACAGGACGCGGCAACAGAGGGGAACCACAGGGGAACGACAAGGGCTCTCGGACCGGCGCGGCGACCAGATGCGTGTGCTGTGTCCCAGAGGGGCGGGGTGTATTCCCAGTGCCGGCTGGAGGGAGGGCGGGTGGAGGGGCACAAGCAGCTGGGTCGTTAGCAGCCGAAGCGGGATCAGCCGGGCGGCGCCGCCGTCTCGGAGCACATTGTACTGTCACACCTCACTCGGGTATTTCGCGCGTCCACAGCCTGACATATGCACGGTGCCGGTGAGCGGCCGGCGGCGGCAGCGCGCGCCGGCCCGTTCCTCTCAGCGCGCTCCTCGGCGCCACGCCGCGGCCTCGGACACACACAGGTACGCCAACACACCCACACGGGCAACTCGCGCCGGGCCGCGGCGCCGGCGCTGTCTCTGAAGGCACGTTAGCAGTGAGGTGGCCGGTGCGCGCGGCGGCTCAGTCGTCCTCGGCAGAGGCCGGCGCCGGCAGGTCGGCCAGCGAGCGGCGCAGGCCGTTGGATGGCCGCAGCGGCACCGTCACGCCGGCCGCGTCCGAGTACCGCTCGTGGTAGCGCTCCTCGCGGATAAACTTGACCGACACCAGCCGACCTGGCCGACAGCGCGGGGACCACCGGTCACTCCAGATGGCACAGTGAACCATATTCGCGGGTGGGATGTAGAACGCCAGAGAACAGCCCAGCCACAAACTAACAGGACAACATCGGAACGCTACCTAACGGATTTCGGCACATTTGAGTAATCGACGATGGGAAAAGATGATTAGATTTAAACCCAGCCCTCCGGATCGTCAAATGTCTTAGAAAAACAGCATACCGAACCGCATTAGCTCGCACGAATCCAGTCAGTATTTCCCTAATTGAAATCTTGTAAGGGCTCCACTTCAACGTATTCGTGCGGCCTCTGCGCCTGAACAAAATTGCCTAATTCATCAGGTGACTATGTAACTTATAGCACAGCAAGACCCCCCCCCCCCCCCACACACACACACGTCCTGCTCCAAACTTTAATGTAGCCTGTCTCAGGCTGCGGCCAGTTATCGGCTTACCGTCAAACCAGCAGCCCTGGATGCGCTTGAAGGCGTTGAGGGCGTCGGCGTCGGTGCGGCACTTGACGTAGACGAGGCCCTCGGTGCTGCGGTCGTCGACGGCGATGTGCATCACAGCCACGCCGTCACACTTCTCGAGCAGAGCGTCCCGCACGTCTTGCTGCCACCCCGAGCTGGCCGTCTCGCTGCAAAAACACAAACGCATAGGTTAGGTACGGGAAATGGCATCTCCTGGCCACTTCACGCAGCACAACCAGGGATGGAGGGCAGCCTGAGTTAGGTCACTCTTAATATCAGTATCGGCTCATCGGATTACACATTCGGCTGCAGCCGATGTTAAAGCACCATATTCTGACAAGTGACAGGTTGTTCCACGCTGGCAGTAAATATGACAGCAAACAAAGAACAATAAAAGACTGAGGGTGTAGTGCGACTGACCAGGAGGGGTCGAACATGTGCCGGATCTTGAGGCAGTTGGTGCGCGTGTGGACCGGCGCGTTGACGCCGCTGCTGGTCTGGAAGGCCTGTCCGAGCCAGACGCGGCGCCGGTCGCGGCCGCCGGCGGCCGAGGCAGCGGCTCCGGCGGCGCCCGGCAGCCAGCGCCACACCGTGTGCGACTCGCCGGCCACCAGCACACACTCCTCGCGCAGCTGCAGGGCGGGGGCGGGGGCGGGGGCGGGCCGACAATGTGTTAACCAGTCGGATAAGACAAAGAGAAAACACGAGAACAGCTGCCACAACATTCTGCGTCCGCTGCAACGACTGAATGAAGCCACATCAAAGTGCTAGCTCGATCCTTACACCATCGCACCCTCCAGCGCCACTCTATCGGCGTAGTCCCGACCCCGCCTGTTTCCCTCTCCCTGTCCCCGGACTAGGTCCCCCCTCCCCGCCGGCCTCATAGTCTGACAGGGAGATACCAGAAAGACCCAAGCGGGTAGATCTCTCTGTGACTGACCAGACTTTCCCTGTTCGAAGTGACTCTCTCCTCCCTCCTGTCTCCGACCCTGCTCTCCCCGAACCCACCCATTCCCGGCCTCCTGACTAACCCGGCTCTCTCGGTCCCTGATGAACTGGCAGGCACGCTCCCACAGCGCCATACGCTCCCGGCTGGAGCGGTCGGCCGGCGTCAGCAGCTCGTCTCGCACATGGTCCACCGCCACGTACGGCTGAAAAAACGCAACTCGAGTCAGTAAGCTGGTACCGAAACAGCAAATTCAACAAGCACGTTTATTAATTCTATCACACAAATAAGGCACCAGAAAGGTGGTCAACGTCCAATATGGGACCGAAACATAAAATGTTCACTTTAGCATTACTGAGGCAGTCAAACAGCAGAGGGAGAGATCGGTCGGAGGTTGTACCTTGTCGGCGGTGCCGGCCGCCTGGAACGTGTGTCGTCGGACCACCTCCATGATGTTCTCCACCATCTGGTAGAGCTGCTGTTGCTGCTGCTGCTGGGATCGGCGCCGCCAGAGCACCGCGGCGCGCAACACCAGGAAGAGCAGGAACGCTGCGGGCGGCGGACAAATACAGTAACACAGGACGCGGCTGAGAGCGCTGTCAGGAACAGCAGGAACGCTGCCGGACGGCGGACAAATACAGTAACACAGGACGCGGCTGAGAGCGCTGTCAGGAAGAGCAGGAACGCTGCCGGACGGCGGACAAATACAGTAACACAGGACGCGGCGGCGGCTGGGAGCGCTGTCAGGAACAGCAGGAACGCTGCGGGGGGGGGGGAGACGGCCGCTATAGAGGGGCACGGTGATGAACAATGAAATGCGAAAACGAACGCTTCATGGAAGGTACCTAGCCGGTTCGGAAGCCAACAGCCGGAGTTGCTACCACGCGCTGTACTTTCATTTGTTTATTGAGGCCTTAGGGCGCAACGACTGCAAAGGACATTTTGTGCGCCCTTCAGGGTGTCCATGCCTAAAAGCCAAAGTAGATGAGCATTCAGTGTCCATTATCCATCCACAGCATTCATCATTCTGTGAAGACCATGTACCCTCCAAAGCTGATGTCTAGCACCCAAACACACCCCGGTCGCCACGGCTCATCTGGAACAGACAGACACCCACCTGCCGCCAGCAGGAACGCCCATTTGACGATGAAGGCGAGCGCGGCGCCGGCCAGACAGAGCCATGGCGTGGAGACGCCGGTGGCGCTCAGCGCCTTGTCGCCCTCGCCGTCCGCCAGCGGCTCGGCGCGCAGTCCCAGCGCGGCGTTATAGGCCACCAGCACGGCCAGGTCCCGCAGCTGGTCCTGTCGGCACGGGGCGGCAGCGGTCAGTGTACGACACGGGACGGCGGTAGTCAGTGAACTATACAGTGTACACCGTCCGGATAACAGACACGTCCGGGACGTCCGGGTAACAAACATGTGAGGGGAGCGTGTGCAGTCAGCACTGGCCGCGTAACAGACGCGGAACGGAGCACCGGCGGGCGACTCGCCACCGTGAGCTTAGTTATACCCGCGTCATTCCCTTCCAAAGGCTTGATATCACGCCACACACAGCTAACATATCCCCTTCCGCAGAGGGGCGGGCCGATACCAATCCCTTAACCCTCGCCCGCACATGCCATTTTCCCATCCTAGAACGCACATGGGGGGGGGGGTGGTTGCCACCCCCCCCCCCCCCGCGCCATTTCGTTCCTGTTGGAGATAGAGCTTAGCAGTAAAGACCAAAAAGATTCTTTGGGAAGAGACGAATCCAATGATACCCAGTTTTACCTTCTCAGGTCAGTCATTGACCTTCCAGGTCAGGTCAAACTAAAAAATGTTGCTGTTTTGGGTTACCGTTGGATATCAAGTGTGCTGCTTATCAAATACCGATGACGATGCTGTTTTCTGGTGCCAAGCCAGCTAGAACCTCTTTGTCACACTACCCGACCAGAATTTTGCTGCTGAGGTCATTTCAGGTCAAGTTAGGTCAAGGTCAATTATATGTGTTTGTATGTCTGTGTGTGTCTGTGTGTATACTGATGTGTGCACCGATTGTTTTTGGGTCCATATTACATGAAATCATGATCTGAGAAGCTTTTACCAAAAATGCAGTCAAAAAACTTCAAAAAAAGTAAATTCAGCTTGCCTAAAACGCAATTATCTTAGGTGACCTAGGTTGACCTTGACCCTGACCTTGACCCCTGTACATCGTCAAACAACATGCTCCATGATAGGTAGGAGGTAAGACTGGCAAAAAAGGCCGAAATCAGGGTGTCAAAAGCTCATAAGGCCCATGGCAAACGCAAGATGTTGAGAATTGGCCATTTGGGTCATGACATGACCTGAAAAACAAGGTCATATCTCCGAAACCAAAAATCACAGAAACTTGAAATTTTCAGTGGACATCAAGAAAGGATAGAGGAGCAGCTATACGAAAAATCAGCCTTCTAGCTCTAAAAATGTTGAGTGCAGAGCAGAAAGACTGCCTGGGGGGTGGCAACCACCCCCCCCCCCCCCATGTGCGGGCGAGGGTTAAATCGGAGCCACCCGGGATTCCCGCCGTCCTGTGTGTCCCTCCTGCCGTCCTTCTGCTCACCAGCGGTGCTCCGGTGGTCTCTGCCAGCTCCGGGAGCGGCACGGCCGCCAGCTCGCGGCGGCCGCAGAGCGCGTCCCGGGCGGCGGCCACCAGGGCCGGCTGCACGTCCGCCAGCAGCTGCACGGCCGGCTCCAGCCGCTCGCGCGACACGCAGCCGCGATCGTCCAAATCCGGGTCACCGCAGATCGGAAACACGCCCACTGCCGGCACATGGGGAGAGGACGTCACTAATAGACAGGAACGACCAGCGCCAGTACACGGGACAATGGGCGTCTACCATCAATACATTGACAAAAGTAGCGATCATGACTGTGACTCAGCTGCAGAAGTGAAAGTGTCCTCTGTCGGTGCACAGAACACAAAACACTTACCTGCACCGGAGGTGTCTGCCGCCGCCGCCTCTAGCTGGGCCACAGCGCCCGCCTCGTCGGTCCTCGACAGCCGCAGGTATGACAGTCCGAGCAGACCGAAAAACAGCACGGCCACCAGCAGGATGCAGTAGGGCACCAGGTGGGAGGCGCCATGAGCGTGCGCCGGCGCCGACTGGAAGCCGGCCTGGTTCCGCTCGGACAGCGCGGCCGCGCTGCCGCCGGCCGCCATCCGGCGCCGGAACGCCTGCAGCTGCTGGCTGGGCGTCAGCGAGGGCGGTGGCGGCGGCGTGTCGTCCGCCTCCTCCGGCTCGCTGTCCGAGCACGTGTCGTAGTCGGCGGCGGCCGGCGGTGGCCGCGGCGGCGGCGCGGCCGGCCGGCACCAGGCGGCCACCCGCTGGCGCAGCGAGCCGGGCCGCTCGGCCGGCGGCTGCTCGGCGCGCGTCACCGGACTCGGGTCGGCGCGCCAGTCGGAGGCGGCCGCCGGCGTCGGGCGCCGCTCCGGCAGACGAGTGCCCGCGCCGCGCGGGTACAGCGTCTCTGGATAGAGGCGGGTGCGGTCGAGCGACTCCGGCCGGTAGCGGCTGCGCACCGCCTCCAGAGGGTCCTCGGGCGGTACAGAGCCGCGGCTGGTGGGCGCTGGCTCCTCGCGGAACAGCGAGTTCTGGATCGGCGGAGTTGGCGGCGGGGCCGGGTCCTCTCTGAACATCGCGCTGCGAGCGGGCGGTGTAGGCGCCGAGTTTTCTCCAAACAGCGGGCTCCGGCCCAAGCGGTACGACCAGCCGGCCGGCTGCTGCGGCGGGTCCGCGTCCAGCATCGGGCTGCGGCCGGCCGGCCGGTGCACCTCCGACAGCGAGTCGAACCGTCCAGTGGCCGGCGAGTCATACCGTCCGGCGAACGTCGCGCCAAACCCCAGCTCCACCGGACTCTGGGAGGCCAGCGAGTCGTCCGTCCCAAACGCGCCCGGATCAGACTCGTCCATCTCGAAGGCGGCCGTCTCCGAGTCGTCCATCTGATCGACCTCGTCCATCGGCTCAGAGAACTCGGCCGGCTCGGGCTCAGGCTCGCGCGCCGGGGGCGGCCGCGGGCGCCGGGCGGCACCGACACCGTCCGCCACCGCCAGCAGGCCGTGCCCATTGACATCCGCAGTGGCGGAGGCCCGCAGTTTGGCCAGCTTCTTCAGGTAGAGCCCCCGGGTACCCGGCGAGATGGGTCCCGGGTTGTGTCCCAGTCGCTGCAGCTGCTGCCTCAGCTGAGAGTCCGTCAGCTCGTCGGTCTGCTCGTGGCCGTTGGACGGCACATCAGGAGCCACCGACTGCAAACGCAAGCAAACATATACTAATTCAGGAAAGTAAAACGATTGTTAAAATAAATCCTGATTAGCAAATTTCATTTTTCCTAAGATATACAACCACAATATACAACCAGAATAACAAGATGAGATGCATGAAAAGACGCAAGCCCACATTACGAAACATTTTTTGAATGGTCAGAAATGGGAAAAATTAAGTTTATAAATACATCGTTGCGACAAATTTCATAAAGGAAAGCCGTCAATTAACCCTCGCCGGCCGAGAGGGGGGGGGGGGGCGAGTGCCGCCCCCATAGGGTTTTTCCGCGATAGCTCCGAGCAAGCTGGCGATAGAGAGCTGAAACTTGGCATACCTGACCTTTGATTCAAGCCGGATCTTTTGACACCAACAATATTTTTGGGTCAGGTCAGGTCACTGACCTATGACGTCATAAGTGAACCTCTACACGGTTTTCAGATGTCGCAACTTCGCAATGCCCTCACTGCCAGGGGAGCTTTCACAGGGAAATGAAACTTGCAGGATCTAGTATCCATTACGAGTCTCACAGCTTGTATATCTCGGATTTTTCCTAAAGGTCATATGAGGTCAGGTCATTTTCGTGACCTCACCACTATAAGTCAATGGGGAAAAATAAAAACTGCTATTCTGGCGCCGGGAACGATCTCCAACTATCTCAAGCACACAGAATCGTGATTTGATGCACTTCTTGCAAGGTTAAATGCGTCACTTGCAAGGTTAAATGCGTCACTTGCAATGTTGACCTTGCGTGACGTCATTTATGACGTCATTATGGTCATATTTGGCCATAAGCCGCAACATAGGAATCATAAACAGAATTAAATACTTATTGGACAGGAAATCACTTCTTTTGCTCTACAACTCATTAGTATTGCCCTACATAAACTACTGCACTGTCGTATGGGGCTTCACTTTTCCAACTTACCTAAACAAAATTGAAATCCTTCAAAAACGTATTATCAGAATCATTGATAATCAGCCTAGACTTGCTCATTCGGATCCCATTTTCAAAGCCCTAAACCTGCTAAAAGTAAAAGATATTGCTAAACAACAGCTTCTTCTAATTATGCATCGAAAGTTAAATGGATCTTTACCACCATCTCTTGAAACTCTTTTCTGTTTGCAGGCTGACCAAAACATCCAAACAAGAACTACACACCACTTCCGAGAAACATTCACACGAAAATTATATCGCACAAAAACTGCCTTCTGGCAAGGTCCTCGACTTTGGAACAGTATTGTAGCACCCCACTTTTTGTTGTCAGAAATTCCTGAATTGTCGAAAGAAACTATTAAAAAACATACAAAAACGCAACTCATCCTCAATTATACATAGCAGTGCACAGATGAACAAGGCCCTTTCATGTCAGTCTATTAAAATTTACATATTTTAACATTGATAAGTACCTTTTAACAACAACACACAGAACAATATACCATACCTTAAGTCTCTGGATACACCTTTTGCCACATTCATATGCTGTGACCTGGGGACTCGACCAGCAACAAGCTCTGCTTAGCTGGCCGAGATTCCCAGATCACGCCATAATAACACACTAATGCATGACCAGCCTTATTTTCAACTGTATGAATGAGACCCCTCTAACCCTTACCCAATGTATGAATGAAAAGTATGAGTGTTCTTTTCGGGATCGTAGTGGGAGGTTCAGTCAATGACTCATTAGTCCATTGACTTCTTTCTGCCTTCTTCTTACACCATACTAACATCCCTGGCCCTCTTTTGTGCTTATATTTGGTTTATTTCCACCTCTTAGGAAAAAATATTATTTTTTCGTTAATAACTCCCGATGAAATTGAGCTAGCGAGTCGGGAAAGCCACCAATGGACTCAAGAAGACCTGCCGAATCGAATGGTGTGCGACATGACCTCTTTCGACCAACTTCGTGACCTGGGGGCGCTGACCTGACCGTGACCTGAGGTCAACACCCTAGGTTGACCTGACCCAAACAAAAAGTATAGCATTTGAAGCGCCTGAGCGAGGCGAACACGATGCTGCCAAAATCGCGGCTCTGCGGCCGTTTTTTGCGAAGTTATTCACCAAAAACTGAACCGTATCTTGGGGCACTTGACTTGGCCTCAGAGGTCACCGGACGTTGACCTAGGACCTTAAAATCGGGTACCAATCTCTGCGTCTTGTAACGGCGCACACGCTCGTTTTTTCCGCGACGCGCTAGCTCCGCCAGGGGCGAAACGGCGAGGGGGTCGTAACCGCCCCCCCCCCCTCGGCCGGCGCGTATGTAAAAATCCAATAGGTCCGGCGAGGGTTAAATCGGTGCTATGATGGGCAGCATAAGTGTTTTTAGCTGGCAGCAATCGCACGAGCCAGGGCATCAGTAGGCTGAGACATACAGCAGTGAGCAGGCTGTTCGTCTCTGGCTGTCAACTCTGCCCGAATCGTCTACCAAGTGGCTGGCCGCCCGGACACATCTCGGTCGGGTCACACACCCACCTGACTGATGCCATTGCTGGCCGACTTGCTGGCATCGAGCAGCTTCATGAGTTTCTTCTGGTAGATATGTCTGGTGGAGGCAGTGATGGGCCCCGGGTTGGCGCCCAGTCGCACCAGTTCATCTCGCAGCTCGGCATCGCTCAGCATGGCTGCTCAGTCGGCGCCGTCGGCCGCGCTCAGCGCATCACCCGCGCCGCTGGCAATGTGTCCTGCCGCCGTGCCTGCACACATACCGATCAGCTCACTTCACAGCATGCAATACATACATGTCACATGAGCACGCTGGTCCACATACGCCCGACACCATGACGGAAAGCATCAGTTCATTAGAAAGGCATCTGACTTTACAATGGCAATTGGCAAGGTTGTTCCTATGTTGTTGGGAAAGTGGTGCTTACATTGCTTTGTGCATGCGAATCTACTCACTTGCTTATCATTTTCCTAAATTGCATGCTTGCTTTTTTGATATGTATGTGGTCCTATGGAGTAGCATCGGTATAGCGGTCAGTCATTGCTGGATTTGGCGTAAATACTGTTTGCATGGTATCAGTAAATCATTCTGTTTTTTTTTTTCACTTTCTTGGCAGGGAGTGCCACGACTATAGTTCGTTTTTCGAAGTTCGACCCTCACTGTAAACGTCTTTTTAACACAGCACGAGAATTGGTATAATTACTGAGAAAACTCGTTGGCGCACAGTGATTTCGCAGACGATCAATTGTATCAAAATTATTTCCACCTGGCTCCAGCCTGGCTCCTTTTTCCCAGACTCGCAGCCCGGTATTTGCAACCCCACAAGGATCGAGGACTTGTCAGGAAGTATAACTGGACTAATTAATAAATCGCACGGCGTTTAACGTAACAGTATATAATCGGTGTTAGAAACTTATTTTGAAAATATTAGTTCATATCTCCATTACAAAGTGTGTTAACCAATTTTCTCAGAAATTCAGCTAGCAATTCTCGTGCTGTTTCCAAAAAGATGTTTACAGTGAGGGTCGAACATAAAAAACGAACAATAATTCTCTTTATGTTTTCTGGGTTAACGTAAGGTTCTGTGCGTCGCTGGGACTGCGGTGGGGGCACTCCTGGTTATCTGTTAATGGATGGCGGAATATTAAGAAAAAAAGTGAACCGAGGTCAATAAAGATCAATGACCTTACCTGACCTTCAGTTGACCTTGACATACACCCTAATGCATGGGAGCAACATCAAATCACATGTTTGAACGTTTGAAACCACGGCAAACGCGCAGCTAATGCGAGCCGACATACGCCGAATCGCGATTCCGGCCAAACATGGCCTCGAGAAATAGGTCACAGGTCAAAGGTCACTTGGGTCAGGGTCATGGAATTTTCAAAGTAGGTGTAAAATTGACTAACGCGAGGGAACTGAAAATTTCGTCGAGATCGGCCGCTTTTTGCGCGAGTTATTCGCGAAAAACCACGGGGGGTCCATCCGACCCCCCTCCCTACACATGCGAGGGTTAACGAAGACAATTTTCGCAAAAATGTCCCAGCAGATTTCCCAGCAGTCCCAGCAAAAATGTCAACAGCACTTTGAGCTAAAAGGAATGGTGATGCGCTACTTCCACTCCTTGTCATGGTCACTCAATCATACAACTTCATTAATGTAAGCTGCCATCATGCAGTGACTTGTCATAAGTCGAAACCAGTTGTCTGATGATTGTTTCAATGTTTACTCTTATAAAGAAAAAGAATACTGCAACCTAGAAACAGCATCTCGTGGACTCATGCCTCATGGTCCATGGAAGCACTTAGCAATTAAAAAAAGACTGCAGTTTTGAGCAAAATGATCATACTGGAACAAAATAGCAGACTGGATAAACATTCACAGGAAACTGGTGAAAGGATGTCTAATGGAAATATTCTTCATTGGACAGTTCCAAGGTCTACTTCTGTGCCCACATGTTCACAATCACCAACAGATATCTAGCTGAAGGGAGTTGACCAAAAACAAAGCATAAACTTTTGCCATAATAACACAAAGTATATGCAACAATCCTACTCCTTAAGAAACCACATAAGCAGCACAATCATATGTGATGTTCACAAAAAAAAAACTGGACAAATCTGCATGACCTGTAATTAGCTGCCTCATTTATAATCAGATTCTTGATTGTGAAATAAGAATCTTACATCAATAATTCAAGTCATAGGAAGTTGAAGCCCATTCACACTGTCAATTCCTTCAGATACTGACTGGACAGTAGACACCTGCCAGAAGAGAGTTCAGCACTCTTGCAAGTTTGTGCTACCACATGTACTTCATTCAAAGTCCACATCAGCACCACAGCGCACTAAAGTTGCCCTGTATACAACATAAAGTCCTAGCACTGACAACATCTGGTCCAAATTGGCATTCTTTGCAAACTGGCTATGTAAAGAAGTGCTAAGATCCTGACTGCCAGGTTGCAGAGCATGGCAACAAATCACAAGCCACATAGCTAGGGTGATCAATCTGCACCACACCAATCCAATTGGAATTATGCACCTGTCCACACACACACAGACACATGTGATCACAAAATGTAGGTGCCAGGTGGTTGAGACTTAACTTTGCTATGTGATTGATGCCTGTTTATGATTTGATACCTTTTTGAGTGACACTACTACTAGTGATTCATTTTTGTGACTGAGTGCAATACACTTAAGCAGTTAAGCACATCTGAATTTGGATGGCGCAAAATGGTGCAAAAACAACTGTCAAATATACTCAGTGGCCAACACTAATTGCCTCTTGTTTGCTTGTTGGGGCTTTAGGGCTGAGCGCGTGCTGACTACAAAGTTTATTTTGTGTCCATAGTCATACACTATTCTCTCACATATAAGTTTCCTGGACAACAATACATCAAGAGAGTGGTTCACCTCAGTGCCAAGTGTGTGCCAACACCACTCCATGCAAAATCTGCACAATCTGCACAGTTAATTGTCATCACAATGCACAGAGAATGAGTGCCTCTACACCACTGAGTTTTTGACTAGATCAAGATTGTGCCAATACAAGGGCTACCCCTTTGACCACCATCACATTGCATCGCATTGTGATGCTTTGCGATCTAATCTGGCTGCAAAAGCATGAGGTAGGTAATCATTGAATGAATAAGTAAAATGTTTCCTTAAAGGGACCCTCCCACCTTCAAAAAAGTTAATGAATTGGCATGAAAGTGATGTCGCTCGGTTCAGAAAGAGTAAAAACGAATATCTACCAAATTTCATCGAAAAATATTCACCAGTTTTCAAGATATTAGACTTTTACTTTTGTTTACTTTTTGGGATCTCCTCAGTTCCTAACGACTTTATTTGAAAGTGCGGTATTTGTTGCGCGCAAAGCAGCATATACCACCGCGTGCTACAAAACGTTTTAGTCAAACATTTAAAAATCGTTAGATATCTGCGCTGACGTCACACATTCAGAGGGGTATTCCTATGCATTAGTCCCTCTGAATCAAAATGCTGCAATTTTGAAATTCAATATTTCCGATTTAAGGCATTTCTCGATGTTGTGAGTGCCGAAACCGGTAATTGTGAGCCAGGGACCCCATTTTGGCTATCTCAACTCAAATCTAATGTTAAGGTGGGAGGGTCCCTTTAAAGCTCAATTTAACAGAAACATTTGATAAAAATTAATGCAACAAGATAGCAGTTCTTACCTTACTTAAGGTAGGTACCTTAATCTGATCAGAATTTAGAGGCAAATTACCCTGACGAGAATCATCCTCATCATGCTCATGACCTTTTAGGCCTTTCTAGCTCCTATCAGGTACCATGTATTTACCCAGTGGGAATCCAATGTTGATTTGAACTGCTTGATAGTGGCTGCGACAAAGACTGTTTGAAGCAAGCCATTCCAGTTATTGACTGCCCTCACAGTCACTCAACGATTTTCTCCTTGGCCTGTAGGCAGTCATTCAAACAAATATCATCGTAACTAGTGTTAGCGTTTAAAGCAGATGGTTTGCACCAAGGCTATATAAAAGTTCGCGCCAAGGCGATAAGTGCCGTCTGCACTGGCACAGTTTGAGCTGGGAACAGTGCACGAAACCAGTTAGAGCTTGCTGGTCTGGAAACAACAATAATGCCAATTATGAAATTGATATGCATTATTAAATGATAAAAATACTGAAAGACTCACAGGAAAAAAGGACGACCGACGTACGAAACCTTCTTCAGGGTTGGCAGGGGCGTCGGCGTTGATCAGCGGCCGCACAATCACGCACGGCGGCAAGCAAGGCAAGTTGGTGGCAAGCGCAAGGCAAGCGCGCGCCCACGAAACACCGAGGGTAGTTTTGGCGCAAGTAAGACAAAAGCGATCCATGTGAAAAGTTAGTTGTCTAATCAACTGCAAAATATTTTTTTTAATTTGGTTTTTATTGTTTTTTTGTAGTTTTAAATTTTGAAGAAATTTATCTCCCATTAATAATAGCGAATCTCTTCAAATTATTTCGCTGAAATGACACTTTTTCCTCGAAAATTGAAGAAGAACATTCAAGAGGCAGATTTCTAGCTTTTCAGCAAGCAAAACTTTCCATCAGGTTTCCTGAAAATTTACTCAACTCAATGGACATAATTTTTTCGGAAAGAAAAGCAAAAGGTGAAAAATATGCTTGAATATCCAAAGAATATTTCGCCCCTGACCGCCCAAGCCCTTTATGGCAGGCTTTCTGTCTCCTATGACGTCATGAGACTTCAAAGAGTGCTTGATTTTCACTCACATGATTCACTGATGAGATTTTCTTTGTGCGTGGTGCAAACTGCAAGGGGTGCAAGGCCCGGCCCCCGCCGAAGTTAGTTGGTAGCACTGCTGCTCCACGGCGTACATTTCCTACCAGCCCATAGGGTTTACATGTTAAATGGCCTGTTTTCAGCGAGCGATATCTCGGTCAACCTTTGAAGGAATCAATGGTTCTTAGTCTCAAATGATAGATCGATGAATTTTCTTTCGACAATTCCTCTACCATTTTTCACGAAACCCAGCCGATCTTCTACGGCGTACAGGGTAAAGATTTCTCTGCACGCCAGCACCCGCGATCCGCCTCTCCGGTCGTCGGCGCGCGGTCCTCGGTAGCGCAGTCGGTAGCGTATCGGGCTACGGATCCGAGGGTCGTGAGTTCGAATCCTGGGAGCGCCGCGTGATTTTGGCTAGAATTGAATGATGTAGATTCTTGAATGTTTGCATAATCAATTATTAATTGATAATTGAATGTATCTGCCCACTTATCGGCCCCTAAAACCTGTTATTTAAGGAATTTAAGAAATGATTGTCACGTGCGCGTCATGGCTGCCAACCATAAGCGTTACCATATTCTAGTTTGAACTAACTTTTTGCTAGTCCCGACCACATATAGTAGGTTTTCTAGTAGGTATACTAGAAATTCCTACCAAAGTTCGTCCTACCCGTCACTCAATATACCCTGGCAAGGCCATCTAAGTGTGGTGTGTGTGGTGTTGTGTGTATGATTGTGTGTAATGGAGTGAGTTATGTTTTTTTGTATGTAAAGCTCTAACCGTGTGTATTTTCAGTTTGGTTATTTCTTCTGGACTGCGAAAAAACTGATAGTTATTAGCAAGGCCATATATAGGGTTATTCATAAAGTACCCTT